ACAGTTTCTTTAAAAACTATCAGCCCTTACTTCTTGATAGGATTAACAAATGAACCTTTAGAGAAATATCACACTTGTGAGTTATTGTGTTAATATGTCATATTAATTTGCAAATGCAAGAGTAGGCAAGGTCAGTTTTCTTTGTTCATTGTAGAACACATGATGGAGTATTCAATACTCAACCTCATAGTGAGCCGTGCCGTTCCCACACTCTTGTGGGACTTTTAAACCAGGTAAGCTTCTGTGCGTAATCTACATTTATTTACTGAATCACTATCAGTGGATTTTTCCATAAACAAACACAAATTCATGGTGTTAGTCATGTTAATTAAGCCATGTTCTATCTTTAACCCCCTGGACACACAAATAAATGTGGTTGTTAATCCTGCCTTGGAGTGATCAGTAGTTATTTGCCCTTAAATGTCAATAAACTTGCACACACGAAAAAACTGTTAGTAAGAGGAAAAATATCAGCAAGGTAGTGTCTGAAACAAGAAATGGAAAGGTCGTTGGTGGAATGATTGAAATTTTGATCTGGCGGCTACTCACTCTTTCAGGTCCCTGTTGTATCTGCTTTTGGGAAGTTTGACTGTGGTACTAAGTAGCATTGATAATGCTGTTGACTGTTAACTTAAGAAGGTGTTCACTACCAGGCTACTTATTGATCTGAAATTAGATCTGTTGCACTGTAAACACATAAACTGGAAACTTTTGAAATAAGGATGGAAAGAAGGCATTCCTATCCCACACTGGTACAATATGAACACAAAGAAAGGCTCAAGATGGCATATATTTCAAATGTTATTTTGAGTAGATTTTTTAATCTCAAATCTCTTTGTTCTTTTTTTCCCAGCTGAGTGCTATGTTTAGGAAGAACTTTGCCCTTTTGCAGAAGACAAGGTATGAAGATTTTGGTTTCACTTGTATAAAGTCAGTTGAAATTTACCAGTTTCCACATCAAACAACTAGCTACAGCTGATGTATTTGTATATTTTTCAGTTTAAAAAGACACCCTCTTGAAGTCATTCCAACTCCTTTTCAAGGTATAGTTACACATCTACTCCACTTTATTCTTTTGTACTTGATTTTCAATGAAGGTAGGTACCAGAGTCCCTTTCATGTAAAAAAACAATGAAACACGTATCATGAAGGTAGTACTTCAGAAGCCTGTCATTCATGGTACACACAGTTGACCTTCACTTTGTCTCCCGTACATCAGATTAAATAGTGTAGGCAGCACCCCTGATTCTCTCAGTGCTGTTTACCTTCCAATCTTGAGGATAAATGGATACCAGAACCCTAGAATATTACCAGGGAAATTAGATAAACAGTACTGTTATAGGGGGGGTCAAGGAGGGGAAGCATTTAAATGCCTCTCTGAACCTTTACATTTACATTTTTACATTTATATAGCACAAACTTCTATGTGGATATATTCAGTTGCACTTAACAGTATCGTAAGGTTGAGATCGGACGTCAGCATTTTTATCAGGCGCCTCTGGCAGCCGCTTCAGTCCATGTAGCGATCTCACCTTCCCACCCATCCCACCCCGGGGAGGACATCCACTACACAGTAATCTCGTGCATGGGAAATTTACGTCTCCTTG